TTACAGACCACTAGTGGAATTTTAATGAAGCCTTGCAGGATGGATGGTCAGAAGCACTTCTATCAACAGTACTTGTCTGCTGCCATGGTAGTTTTTTGTCCCTTTTTTGATTTCTCAGCTTATTGCTGTGGTAAGTTACTGTACCAGTGAAATGGCTGTCTGATAAAAAAACGTGCCTTGTTGGCTTCTTGATTGCTTCAAATGAAACTTCTCTACTGGAGATGCTGTTCTACAGTGAATAAAGCATTAGTCTAAGGCCAAAAGATTCTTTTTCTCTTGAGCTCCAAGGGCCTGTTTAGGGACCTCAGCAAGTGATACTGCATGTTTTGTCTTGGGAACACAAGGTGTTCTAGTGAAAAAAGCTATGGAAGAGCTAGATATTGCTATATAGGTTTGGTTACTCTTGTTTTTCTTTTAACCAGTACCTGTCTTAACATCCTTAGTTCTTTTCTTCTGTATGCATGTATCTGTGTTGCTCTTGCAGAACCAGGTTACTGACATTTGAGGTCCTCGGAAAGTCCTTGGATTTACTAAAGCATCTATTGTCTCCAGAGCAGGGATGTCTGCCGTAAGCCCCTGAACAGTGCAGTTTCATTAACAAAAGTGTAGAAGCATGAACTTTGAAAAATTACTAAAGATGCACAGCTTTTTCTTTCTTTGTTCCTCAGGAAGCTGAGACGAGGTTGTTTTCGCTTGTAGTTGGAGTACGTAATTAGGCTCCATTCAGATAACGAGATCTGTCCTCATAGGTGGATGGGACGTTCTTTTATTTTGTTGCATGAATAAAAGACTATTCGCAACTTATAATTACATGCATGTCCTGAGACTTGGTGTATATTAATAACTGTCCTGTGACATTTTTCCCCCTCCCTTGTTGCTTGGTCTTGCTTTTCTATTAAGATGCCTGTGACTGAAACATTCAAGTTTAATAGATTTTTGTCCTGAAAGAGACAGAATTCCCATGTTACACATAGACTGTAGGATTTTTCTGAATTAATTCCTGCTTCAAATCCCATAGCTGTGGATAAATATATCCAATCTTGACCAGAAAATCTAGGCATGAGAAATCCAATAAAAACCTGATGTGATGGTGGTGGCTCTTGCTTCCTACTAGTTAATGAGACTCCTAACATGATGAATGTAAGTGTTGGGGGAGAGTACAAGGGGAATAGATCTTAGTGGCCAGCCCACGCTTCCCTAAATAACACCTCCAGAGTCCTAGGCTAGGGAAAGCATTGGTCTGGTCCTGGAGCGCATGTCTTGTTTCTTCAGTTGGACTCTTGTAAAATTAAGAGTGTCTTATGTCTGGCTGAGTTTGATCAGCTTCCAATTTCAGCTGCTGGATCTGGGTATGTCTTTGAGAAGCTGTTTTTCCTGTTCCTAGATGTGTGTTTTGTGGCTTTCTCCGTTCCCCTCCGCCCCCCTTTCAAAGTAGTGTTTAACTGCATTTGCTTTGGTAAGCAGCCTCTCTGACCTGGGCCTTTTGTTATTTGCTGTTATTCCTGTCTTTGTATCTCCTGCAAATTTAGTGACTGCTTTCTTCCAAGTCACCCACTAAAATGTTAGATGGCGCGGGGCCAAGAACCAATACCTGATGGACCTCACTAGTAGTGGTTTCCCGTTGACACCAGCATTTCAAGAGCTGTCACTTAATTGATTTTTAATCTGTCTTAAATGTATTTGGCCAATTGTTGGGTTTGGTTTGGGGGTTTTTTTGGTATGTTTTTTTTCTGGCTGGTTTTAGTCAAAATGTGTTGTGCCAGCCCAAAAATGCTACATAAATCTAAAAATATTATATCAAATTCTTAATTTCATAAAAGTCAAATTAAATAAGATAGTTTTTGTAAGCCCATGTTGATTGACACTATTTATTTTTGCTGTTAATTCTTCAGTAGTACTCTGAGCTGTTCCTTGTTTTCAAAAACATTTACCAAGCTGAGACCCCAGTATTTATCTGTGTAATGTTTTGACATTTCAAAGGGTTGATACTTCCCACCCCACCTCTCCCCTGTATTATCAACCCATTGGAGCTTTCTCAGTATTCCAAGACTTTCTGGAATTAAACACTGCTGCAAACATTCTTTGAGTAACTAAAAAAAAAAAAAAAAAAAAAAAAAGCCCAAAAGCAAACACCTCCATAGCACTTAGGACTGTTAACTTACAAATGTTTATATAACATCACCTTGATAGATTTTGCTGAATAATCATATGCCATTCTATTGAATGTTTGTTTATACACTAGCATATCCTTCTAGAATTTTTTTGGGGGGGTAACACATATATATACTGCCTTTTTGGTTTTATTCTTTTCTTGCTTTAAAGCTGTGTGCCTCTCTTTGCTCTGACCTTTGTAACATCTCTGAATTTTGACTTATGTTCTCTGCTCTGAATCCCCCTGCCCTCTTCCAACCTCTTCTCTCCTCTTTGTGCTTTCATTCTTACTCGCAGTGTGGTTTGGGGTTTTGGGTTTGTTTTTTTTTCCCCATGTACTGTTTTGAGGGTTTCTAGTAAAAAGTTCTTAAATAGTTAAGAAATTTAAACAAAAGCTGTAGACAACTATTGTCTTAATTGATTTGACTCAATTTCTGGCTCTTTGAAGCTGCCCTTTTAAAGTGCAAATTGCTGTGTATTCAGGCTGATGTTTTATTATAAATAAATGCTGCTGAATCAGTTGTCTTATTTTCTGTTGCAATTGGTTTACACTATCTACTAAACTTAACTACTGCCCTGGCTAGTACTTAGTCTGTTGAGATCTAGTTTACAAGTTGATATTCACAGATTAAATTGATACTCTCAGATTAGGGCTGAAGAGTTGATACCTATGTATGTGGTGGGTTTTTTTATTTTGCCCCTTCAGGGCCCTTGCTATGTTGGGTTTTTTGGGGGTGTTTGGTGGTTTGTTTTGGTTTTTTTGGAGTCCTTTAACAAAAAGACAGATTGTAGCCTTTCTTTTCTTTACTACCCTCAAAATTATTTGACTTCTAGTTAGCGGTACAAGCCTTACTGCTTTGACTGGATACATGCGTAGGGCTGAATTAATACTGAGTATTAAAGAGAACATTTGAGCTGTGCTGTCGCAGGGGGAAAAAGCATTGTTTGAAATGCTAGGCTCTGTCAGTGGCAGTCCAGAAACGCATCCTTACCTCCTTGTGAAGATCTTGCATCCCTGCTTTTTAAAGGGGAGAACGTGTCTTTGGCTAGTGCACGTGGCTAGAGATGGGCCAGTAAAGTCCTCTCCTGGACTATCAACTTATCTCAAGGAGCCTGGTAGCTACTTAATCATTACAAGTGCTCTCAGTTTTAAGGAAAGAGATTTTGTGAGGATCTAACTGTAATTTTTTTTTTTTTTTTTTTTTTTTTGGCAAAGCCTGAAATTAAACAGTTGTGTTAAAATGTTGTTTTAAACTGTTAACCCGCAAACTGTAATTACAGTTTAAACTTATGACTTAAAATATTTGGCTACAGAAGGGAGGATGAAAATGCCAGAAAAGCTGAAAATAAAACTGTTTGGGTGCAGAGACAAAACCAGTGAAATTTGACCATGCTGAAAACTGCATGGTAAACTTTTTCCTTCTTTTTTTTTAGTTTTAATTTCCGTGCTTGTTACTCTTAACATTGGCGCATCCATATTCTGATTTTGCCAGAGCACATTTTAGAGAATAATGTTTCTTAAATATTGCTTTACTTTTAGAGCTAACGGTTGTGAAATAGTAATAAGTATGTAACAACCTCTGCATTTAAAAAGTTATTCCACCCGTGCTTAAGTGCTAAGGGTTTTCTTTGTTCTTTCTGGGATATTCTTCTTTTTTTTTTTTTTTTTAATTCACTTGCTGGAGAGCCTTCTGAGATCAAGAAGATTTTTTCACGCTTTGTAAATGTTGTATTTTTTGAAAAAAATTAAGACTTTTTTTTTTTTTTTTTTTTTTTTTAATCCTTACACTAACACCCGAAAGATGTTTTTCCTTGTGTAGGTCACCAGTAACATTATGAGGGTTAAATGTATGGCTTCTTTAATTGTGAGGAACATATCTAAAAGTAAGCTCTAAAATATTGGGATCTTCATCCCTTTTCCTCTCTTCTAATTCTGTTATTCCTGAAACTTTTCCACTGGCCCTGCTCTTCAGCTGCTGTGAACTGTCAGACACTGAAATATAGATGATGAAAATATAGAAACCGGAGTTTAGCAGAGGCAGCCATGTTAATTTCTGTTCCATTTGAAATGCAGGAAAATATCATCTGCCAAATGGAAAAGGACAATCGGTGGGAAAAGAAATGTTCTTTTCAAGCTTCTAAGAGCAGTGACAATGGAGAGAAAAAAATACTATAAAAAGTAGGCAGCTCCTTTTTCAAGATTTTGTTTTCAATGTATTATGCATGATTAACTGTACACAGTTGCTCTTTTGGAGTCCCGAATGACTGAATACTACATCGCAGGGTTTATACTGTCTTTACTGCATTGCACTCTGCGTTTGGGGGGGAATAGGGCTCAGCTTCATGGCAGTTCTGCCTGTCTTTAGTATAATTTTTTGAATACATTCATACTTCCCTTATTTGCCTTTTTTAATGTCAAGCATTGCACATAAGATGTTCTGCTGTTGCTATGCAACTGCTAAATCCAATATTTAATATTAATAAAAAGCGAGTGGCATTAGCATCACTGAGAACAGTGGGCTAGCAAACTATGATTGTACAATATCCAAGCTGTAAAACTTGGCAGGGACTTCAGTGTGCAATTGCATGCATGGCAAACTGTGGGGCATGAGTCATTGGCAGTTGCTATTTTAAGAGTGGTGAGTTTGAGTAAAATTTCTGAGCTCTTCTGATTTTTATTTATATATATAAATACAATTTTTTTAAACAAAAAGATAAAGAATGAGGTTGGTTAGCTGCTTTCCTGAAGGTTTCATTTTGGATACAAATGCTGAGGGGTCACTACCCATGAAAGAGTCAGCGTTATGAACCTGTGGGTCAATACCCTGATTCTCCTATTTTTCTTCTAGGTCAGGTTGGTCGGCCCTTTCCCACTGTTCCTGCCACTTCCTGAAGCCTGAATTGGCTTTTTTTGGAGGCAGTGCTACTTCTCTGCCTGACAAGGTGCTGTTCAATGGGATGTTTTTCCTCTTCCACCTTGTTTTCTGATCTCTCCCCTATTTCTCTTTATTCTTGAATGTTATTTCATCGTTACTCTTTCACTTTTTTTTTTTAAAAATTATTTTCCCTTTCTGAGGTTAGATTTTTTTAGTGTCAGACCCTGACAGTGTTAGATGAAGGATGGTATTGTACCCTGGCAATCCTTTGGCCATCTAAGTCATGTTGCAGACTGCAAATTCTGTAGGGTCCTGCACCTGATACCTGAAGACGTTGGTGCACTGGCACTCTTGCTGACACCCAGATGGGTGTAACACTACTTGTCCTTTCCTTTTTGAAGGCTGCTGTCCAAAAGATAACTTTGACATTAGATCTGTATAAAGAGTGATTTTACAATTATTGCTCTTTCACAATGTGGTAACTGTTTTCCCTCATAGCATGTGATCAATTAGATTTTGACTGGTTTCTTAAAACAGCTACTTCAGGTGGTTTATCTGTCCCCGATTCACCCATGCAAGTTTCTCTAAATTTAAAACCATATTTTTGTGTCTTAAATTTTTTTTTTTCATTTCTTCTTCCACCTCTCAAAGATTCAGGCAAGTAGGAGAAGCTGCCCCTAGCTATATGCAAACTGTTACTAAACCTACAAAGCAAAAGTATTAATGGGGGGGGGGGAATACAGTATGTTGTAGCCTTGAGTTTTATGGTGACATTGGGAATACATTTTTATAAGTAGGTGGAATTTGTCTGTCCTCCTTAGAGTAGTCTTTGTACTTTTCATATTCACTCTGCTAACCTGGTTTCTCACAGTATTGGGTAGTTAATAGCTCTGTAGATTTTACTGCCAGCAGGGGTTTAGTGTAATATTGATTTAACATTTCCAAATAATGGCAGTAATTTCGGTAAAGGTTTTTCCTCTTCTGGAATAAACTAAAATTGGTTAGATTTAAGTGAGGCATAAATCATGGCATTGAAGTAAATCAGACTGTGTATCTTGGATGTGGATCTGTGATTGGAATTTGGTTCCTTAGTGGCATGGCACTGCTGAATCCCTTTCCTTTGACTTTTCTCTCTTCAAACCTGTAACTCTTCAGGAAACACTGATTCTAACGCTTGCTGAAATTCAGAAAAGTAACTGAATGCTGCTCAGATGGAAGAACGTATTTTTTTAATTGGGAAAATGTCCCTTATTTTAGTTTGGAGGCTTAAGCAAGAGACTTTTTGTTTTTTTTTTTCTTTTGTACAGAAATTGCCTGGTTATTTTGTAGAACCTACAACTTCCTTTTTTCTTTTCAAAGTGGTTTATTTCAATGTTGTAATGTTCTCTCCTTTTTTTTTTTTTTTTAACCTAGCTATTTACAAAAGTACAGGAGTCGGTGGACTCTAGATTGTGCTATGATTTGTTGGTAGTTCAGTCATCACAATTGACCCATGCATCTTGTAATACTTAGAGAAAACACGTTGAGCTCTGTTCTTGGAACAGATAAATATAGAACTGCTATTGTGAATATTCTTGTAGTGACGTACTTAATCTAGAAAGCTAACAATTCTTTTATTTGCTTTTAGGGTTTGAAAGTATTCTAGAAGGCCTGTTTGGACCTGGATTATTAAAAGATCTCAGTTTGTTTAAAGGTATTCAATCTCTATTTTTGTATCTTGTTCTGCATTTCTAATGACAGAAGCAGCCCCAGCTCTGCCTCTAGAAAATGTGTGTTACCGTGGTGATTTGTGCTTTTTCCCCCCTCCCCCAGGCAGTGCTCACAGTTAGTTTCATATTGGCTAAAATTACTAATGAGTGTGCGTTCATCTTTATGTAGCTGGGAGTGTATTTGGCAGGGCTCGGAAAAACAGATTTGTTGTGCATAGATAAAATGTATACAGTTTGGTAATCTGGGGATTTAGAAAAATGGCCGAAACGAAGCCTGCATCCTCAGAATGCAGGCAAGAATGTTGTGAAACAGGTATTTAATTTGGCATTTCTCTTTTGGCTCCAGTTGTGTCGCGGTTTATGAATATGAAGTAATTTGCTATTCCTCTGATTTACAGACTGTGAGCCTGAAGGTGTTTCTGATTGGTCTTTTGATGAAAATTGTCTTTTCTGCTGCCTGAGAAGAGAAAAAGTGAAGGTAACAATGCAGATGTGTGAAGCTAGTAGTTGTAGGGGAGGGACAAAGGGAGGGAGTTTTCTGCTCCTAGTTAACTGAACATAGAAAATCTGCAACCTCCTACCCCTTTCCCCTCCTTCAGAAAAAGGCTTTCTGAATTAAAATAATACACATTAATGAAGAGTCTTGCTGCTTCTCTGCAACTTTCTTTGTAGTATATGATGCAGATGGTTTTTTTTTTTTTCCCCTGTGTCGTGGTTCTTTCTATTTGGTGTTTTTTGTTTGTTTGGGGGTTTTTTTTAGCTCTGTGTAAGAGATCTTGTCGGGATCATGTAACCCTTCCCAAGGGAGCCAGGCTTTGGCTTGTGCATGTTTACTACAGTCAGATGCTGGTCTTATCTTCAGTATGGAAATGTGGTCCATTTTAACAACCTAGAGTCTTGTTCTGTCTTATTAAAGGGCTCATATGTACGGTAGATTTTGTATTGTGCTTGTTTATAACTAAGTCAGAGCCTAAACACGGACAAGTCAGCTTTGCCAGCATAATAAACTTGCAGTTTGTTTTCTTAACGAGATTATAGCTATATACGAAACAAAAGCTACTGTGCTTTATGTGACTGTTGCTCAGCCCTTGTGTTGAAAATAATGATTGTTCTATAGCATAGGAAGGAAGGCTCATCTGTCTTGGCAAAACTTCATTTGTTGGAACTCTTAACTACTGCTTCTTCCTGCACAATGTAAAAGAACACGCAGAGTGGGTGTCTATCAACTTAGAAATGAATCAAAAGCACCCTTCCCTCTGCAGCAGGTAACATGTATGACTGCATGGCTTGTTCATAAAGGAAATACCTTGTTTACATCAATACTTGTGGTGTTGCCAGTTTATGCTTGGTTTTGTATTACAGTTTTTGTTAAGGCATGGGGAGGAGGGTTAGGAATGCTTGCATTTAGAACAGGTGTAAGGCAAAATAGTTCCTTGCATTGAGACTGACAGCAGGTAAGCTGTATGTATGCTTGTGCTGTAAGCAGTTCTATCTTGTTTGACTTGTGTCATCTCGTAAAAAGACACAATTCGGTGTCTAGCACAGTTCTAGTTAAGCCACTGAGTTGATTCAGAAATTGTTTTTGTGGTGCTGTCAGAGGCTGGTCGTAGTCTGGGAGAATCTAACAGAGTATGGGTAGGTCTTCAGAAAGACTGTTTACATCTCAGTCATCCTCATAGGTCCACAATAATGGAAGTACAGCTTCTGAAAATCGGTGATTGTTAGGTGAAGACAAAAACTAAGAACGCAAATGTCCGCCCTACAGTGTGCTGATTAGGCGTGGTCACCTTTTTCAAGCTTCTACACAAACTTTAGTCAGAAGCAGACATGATCACTATTTATATTTTCGTGTACTTTGCTATGCTAGGCTTTTCTTTCTAGTTTCGCACAGTAAAGTGTAGCCCATGGTTGTGAGCATCACTGAAAAACTGGCAATGTGTTCCTTACACTAGCAGTAGTTATCATTTACACTAAGGTTCCTCACGTGGTTTCCCGTTGTACTCTGTGGTGGCTTTTAAATGCACTAGAAAAGAGATGCAGATGTGGTCACATCTGGTGTGCTCTGTGGTGTTTTGGCATCAGGGGTCTAAGGAGCTTTTAGGATCGTGTACAGATTGACACAGACTGCAGCAGGGGTGTGCAGCATCGCTAGGCAAAGGCACTACGTGAAGGGGAAGGAGGTTGCAAGTTCTGAGCAGGCTAGAGAGAAATGTGAGTTAAGAAAGGCTGTGGTAGTGTCAGGCAGCCACTATGAGCTTGGGGAGAATAATTTTTATAAATAAAACCCAAGCGATTTCTGTCACTTTACACTTCAGAGGCCAAAAATACCCGTTTAAACCATTTTTCTTACAGCTGCTTGATAAACAGAGACAGCAGCGAGAGCTTTGTACACGTGCTTGTTTGCTGCATGGCCAGGGATCACTGGCTGTTTGGGGGAGTGGGGAAGGAGGGTGAACCAGTCCGTTCAAATCAGACCTGTGACTTCTCTGTTAATCCTGGTGATTCTCTTCGTGCTTGGCATGGGGCTTCTTTGGAGTGTGTAGGATTTTTTTTAGGGTTTGGGTTGGGTTTTGTGGGTGGTTTTCCACCCCCACCCCCCCATCTATATCAGTTCTGTTGGGTTTGGGGTTTTTTGTTTGGTAGTTTTTTTTGTTTTGCTTTGTTTTCTTTTTGACAGAAGAATATGGCTCCTTTTAGACCTAATGAGTTGTTCTGTGTCAGCTGAGAGAGATGGGAGGGTGGGAGTGGTTCCTTTCCCCTGTGGGTATGCCAAATTGCTGCACTGCTGGCCGTTGCTGATGTCATTAGCTTGCAATACAGAGTTAAATATGGGACCTTTCAAATAGTATGAATTTAACAACATCATAATTTGGATTGAAACATCAGAGACTTAATTGTTACAAAAAATTTTGTAACTTCATTTGGTGTTTAGCCAAATGATGGAGAGTCTTTCAGCTGATAGACCGAACTAAATTAGAAATTGTATCATTTTATTTGAAATCTCTTCCATTCAACATCTGTAATGATATCTTTAACTCCCCTTCTTTCTAGGGAATTGCAGGCTCAGTCTTCTGTAACTGCTAGAACTTGTCTGTTCCTGTACATGAAAGCGGTGGCAGTTGTGCTTTCTGTGCCACATCTTCTGTTCTGCTTCTTTTTTATTGTTGCTGTGCATCCTCATACCTTTTAGAAAAAGAACCGGGCAGGATGCGATGTTTTGGGTTTGTGCTTGTATACTGGTGTGTTACAGAATTAAAAGGTGTGTCATTGATGTAGCTGGGAGGAAGGTAGCCACAAACCACATATTGCAACAGTGTGTGCCTGTGTCTGGCTCCTAATGAGTACATCTCTACCAATACCCCCTTTTGGATTAGTGGAATAATTAATCAGTGTACTTGGTTCTCACACTTAAGTCACCCATAAGTATCTGGTCTGACAAGTTCAAAACCAATAAAAATCTTCAGGGTTTCTTTTCTGGATTTCATTTGCCCTTAAGAATTACCTGTAACTTAGGAGACCAGTAGTTGTGCTTAAGGAGGATTGAGTTCTGGACTGCAGGATGAGAATTGGAGGCCAAGATTAGTTTCTTGGCAGAGCTGTTTAAGGGGAAAAAAATCTACACTTGCTCTCCCACCCATTTCAGTGATGTTGGTTCTTGCTTTTACAAGCAATCAGATTCAATTACATGCATTCTTCAAAGGATGGAGAACCATCTGCTGAAGTATTCTGAAAAGATTCATTTATTTGTAGCAGTAGTTCTACTTGCAAATACTGAGAAAATGCATGGATTTTTTGGCAGTCAAAATACAAGACAGTTTTTGATAAGAGAAATGGACTTAAGTGTCTTCACTTGACAGGGATCACAAATTACAGACAAAATAGGGAACTAAAATCTTCCCAGACATTTTTTGCCCAAATCCAAAGGGTTATGTGCAATAATGTAAAGCTTTTGGAAACTGGATTTTTTTTCTTCCATCATATAATGCAGAATACACAATTGTCTCAGTATGGTATGATCAGAGAGAATAACTGGTTAACTAAGGAGCTGCTACCAGGTTATTCACGCAGGTGCCTGTGTACAGAAATGCATGGGTAAATTGATGGGCATGAAGGACAAAAAGGGCAAAGTTAGCAGCAGTTCTCAATTCCTTGGCTTTATCCTTCACAGGGAAGACTTAAGATAGTGTAGCTTGCAAGGTGGTTGGGGTTTTGGGTGTTGTGGTTTTTGGTGGTGGGTTTTTTTTTTCTGAAGCTTTTCCTGCTAAAAAAGAAGACCCAACAATTCAGACAAATTGAACTCTAAGTGTTCTTGGCTTACCTCTATTTAACTATGATTCTTAATTTTTTAGTGCAGCTTGTTAAATAAACTGACAGAGCTGTCATTACAGAAGAAATCTGTGGCTCCATGCAGAATGTTTGTATCAAATGAGGTAGTCTGTACTGTCATTTGCTCATAGTTGAAGCTCAAGCCTAGTTCAAGATTTTTTTATTTGTTTTTAAAGATGCAAATAGATAAGGTCAGAAGAAAGCGCCAGTAATAAGAGGGGAAATTGGGAAAAGAATCCTTAAAGAGGATTCAGTTGAGTATATTAATTTGGAAAATGCTATTGTCTAAAGCTACATAAAGCAATTCATATGTATTAAAAAAAAAAAGGGGGGGGACACATGACTAATCTCATTAGTTGGTGAGAGCAGAACAAGGATAATACTCCTAAGCACATTAACTATTTTGTAGATGTATTTAAGCTACAAAAATAGCAAGAGAGAAAATGACTTCTGGGAGCATATTTTGGAGTTTCATGCTGTTGAGAGCAGAAGGTTGAGTGTGGTCTTCAAAATATCGTAAAATACCTGGCTTCAGTGTAAGGACCTCTGACGATTCTTCCAATTGTGAAGAAGTGTGGTAGGGTAAAGCATGTGAAGGAATAATTTTAAAATTCAAAGTTACTGTGATATGATTTGGATATTTTTAAAAGTTCGTAAGGAATTGCTTTACACAAACACCTAAAAGGCAATATCATACCATTACTTGATTGTGATTAGTCATAATAACAGCCTCTGAATCTGGTGTCCTTTCACTATGGAGGAACATAAACAGTAAGAAGTAAACTGTGGTAAGTGTCTGAATAATTCCAAAGAGAAGCTACCACTATCACTTAAAGCGTTAACTTGTAGAATAATTGAAGATGGCAAAGGAAATACCTGAAAATGGGTTGAAGTTGCAGAACTCTTATGACTTTTGATGGTTTTAGAATGTCTTTAAACTGTGTACAGAGATCCTAAGTGTGCTGGAAGATGCTCTAAAACATACTTTTAATGGATTTCATCACTTTAAAGAACTCAAGCATTTAGAGTGCCGATTTTGTGTTGGGTGGTTTTAAAATAGTTTGATATAGAGGCTAAAACATGAAGAGGCTGATAATATCCAGCTGCGTTTAGTAGTAATGCAGGGTTACAGTTTTGCTTGTGCATAAAAGTGAATGTAAGCATATTGTATTTCCACTGATTTTTTTTTTCTCCCTACTATAGGTAATAAATTATATTCAATAGCTATGGACCAGTCAAGTTAAATTTGTTTTGAATTTGATAAATCTGACATCAGTCAATAAGAAAACAATACTGTTTCTTAGTACGATAGTATGTATGTTCAGTAAGGGATGGATGTCTTAAAGCTAGTTAGACTATCTGAATTTTTAGTGGATGCCAAGCTGAGAACAGTTCTAGATGCTTTAAAGGACATACTCAGAATTGAAAATGATCTCAATAAATTTGAGAAACCGGACAGACAGACTTGTTTTGTCAAGTCACAAGTTACAGATGTCTGAAAAGTGGTAGCGCTGTAAAAGTAATAAACTATTTTTGGGGCTATATCAAAAGAGGCATTTGTCTTAATACCTGGAGAGGAAATTTCTTCTCTTACCTAAATGCTGGTGAAGCCTCAGCTGCGTGTAGCGTTTTAAGAGAAACTTAAGCAAACTGAATAGTATGGAAATGAAAGCAACGAGAATGACTTGGTCTTGAAGGTAGAAGGAAGAGAAGGAAAGAAGACAATCTCTGGTGTCCCTAAGGCTTGTCTACAGGATATGGTAGATTATTCTCCTTTGCACTGGCTAAGAGTTAAAAAGACTGTACAGTCTTTTTAAGAAAAATGAAGCGTTGGAGAAGACAACCTAGGGATGCTGAAACATTTCTTTCTTACTGACTGTTCCTGATCTTGCCTTGGGGTGGGAAGCTGGATTGTATCCCTAGGGTTCATGAGTTGGCCGGTCAGCCATGGGTGGTCTGTGGGAAGCCTCCCTCCGTTTTCACCATGAAGATGGATAGGAATTATCTCAGACTATTCCAGCTTGTGGGCACTTCCCGCTCTGTCTGTGTGTGGCCTGTGGCTTAAATATGGAGCTGCTGTTGCTGTGTCTATACAAAACCAGCCTGCATCATACCTTTTTTCTTCATGCCAGCAGTTTAGCATTTAGAATCTCTGTACTGACATTTCCTACACGGAGGGTCTCAGTGAGGATCCAGCACTAGTGCTGACAAGGCCAGGCTGTCCAGGATTAGGTGGTCTCTTAAGGTCACACATTGACCTTGCATTTTGCAAACCTGAGCTCTGTGTTTCTAAGGCTCTTTGACTTAATTATACTCTATATCTTAATGTACAAAAAGAGCTTTAGTCCTGTGGGAGCATGTGCAAACCACTCCAAGTATCTCTTCCTGAAGCATTATTGTTCAATGTAGCAGTACTACAGGTTCACTGATGGGATTCCAGGGACGGTCTGGGGCATGGTTCCCACCTGAAGAGAAGCACAAAGAGAATAGAATGAATGCTGCGTTATAAATAGTATGTAAAAGTAACTGGTTGGGTTTTCTTCTGGGGTATTTGTAACCAATGGCAATGCTATCTAAATATTAGTAAGTTTTTCTTCTTCCTGCTACCTGCATTTTGGTACTGAAAACATTGATGTGTTTTGGGACTGTAGAGTGAGAGGGTAAGACTGAAGATAGTGGATCCAAGTACTGGTTATTGAGAAGAAATGGTGGAAAATGTAAAAAACAAAATTTAAAAAAAAAACCACTAAAACCCAAAAAAACCCACCACCAAACCAACCAAACACCACCGCCCTCCACTCCCCCCCAACCCAAACCGAACCCCCTACTTTTGGAAGTTGAGTTTGAATAGCAATCACAATCAAATATTTAGTGTGGAAACTTAAAATTTCCTTCTAGGGGTGAACCACCTGTGAAGATTGCTGAAATAATTGTGACACAATTGATGATAAGAAGATAATAAAAAATGCAATAAGGCGAAATCTCTCCAGTGTATTTTGCCTCATGTAGTCACTGATGTACTGGAGATGCCACAAAATAGTTGGAGATTTTTTTTTTCTATGCGCAAGGTTGTATCTGACTCTTTTATATACCTATATTTCTTTACATTTTGATGTCTTAGTGTGGACATTGATAAAAACCATACATGCAAAGAGATGCATGCTCCTTAGTTTGAGGGGTAAGAACTAAGCACTGCCATTGCCTTGCTATTCCCCTCTTCTGAATGCAGATCAAACGATCCTTTATTCAGCCATTCACCAGTGTAAGCGACTTAGAATCTTTTTTTTTCTGGCCTATCCCTTTTTCTTCATTCCTTCTCTGTGTAGAAAATGTACAGTTTTAGTTAGCCTAGGTACATTAAATTGTACTCTTTATATATAACCTTTATATGAGTAATGTAAAGTACACTTGTTTATGGTGAGGCATACTGCCGCTGGACTTGGTTTCCACCGGGCTGCTCGGCTGGTACTTACTGTGCATTGTCTCAGTTGCAGAAAGTACTAGGAAGATTTGAAAGGCATTGTGTTGGCCAAGGGTTATTTTTATTTTGGGCTTCTTCCAGAGCTACAGTCTGTCAAAGGGCAGAGTATCAGATCAGGTAATTGAAGGGGTAATGTGGTAATGTTTTCTTCAATTCTGAATTCTGATGCCTTCCTTTGAACTAAAAGAAAGGTTTTTTTGCAATGGCTTGTGGGACTTTAGCTAGGGGATGCGATGCTAATTAACTCTAACTCTAATGGATCTTATCTAGCCAAATCTCTGCACATCAGTTTGCAGAGATTCCTTTTAAAGGAAAACTTTGAGCAGTTTGTCTGTAAATGCTTAGATATTCCAGTGGTTGTTCCAACACTTCTGTATGACAAGGTTATTTCTGTTGTTGGTTAATTAGCACGAATGTCTGCTTTTTACACAAACTGATAAGCTGAGTTTACAGTTATCCTGCTAATGCCTAAAAGATTGATATCCTGATATATATATCCTGATAATGCTTAAAAGAGCTTGACTCGGAACGGCTGTCAATAACAAGGACAGATCCCGCATTAAACTTTGTCAGATACAGAAACAGTCTCAAAAAGAGTATGCAAGTATGTTCTATGGAGTCTCATCTGAAGAGTAACTCTTATGAAAATATTGGGTTTATTCTCCACAAATATTTTTCTTGTGAAATCCTGTACAGATACTTCACATATTTTAAATATCAGAAAAATACAACTGCATTTTCACCGTGTTTGTGAAATGCCAGTGAACCGCTACTACTGGTTACTGGTACAGGAGTACCTGGCACAGAGGGGAATGCTTTTGTTTGTAGTTAACCCATCAGTTCAAATACGTATTCTTTAAGACTGTCTCAAAAGCGCTAATCTTTCCTACAAGAGCCAGCGGGTTTGAGAGCAAGCCTGGAGTCAATCTGGTATGGAAAAAAATATCAGTTGCTTTGTGAGGTCTTTACATCTTCAGACTCTTACCTTCAGAGCAAGCGTGGTGTTTTACTCGCCTGCTACCTCTGTCATCGCATGCCCCTCAACTTTTTATTTAGCATGAAATACTGCTTTGTCTCTATACCCTTACCGAGGTAGCATCTCCCTTTTCTTCTGGTAGAGAACTCTTGGAAGCTGAATTACAAATCTGAGGTGAGAGCCCATGTTGTTCAGGCCAGAGGCCGCAGCGTTTCATATTGTTACCCTTTGCGCATGGTTCATGTGACTGCTGTGTGTGTTAATTTACTATGGGCTGGTTATGTAACCTTGCTTCATTAAACCTCTTAAATTTGAGACGTCACAAACTTAAGAATGACTTCTTTTCATTTATTGTGAATTATAAATGAAATGCCAGTTCTTGCCTCCCCTTCTAGTCCGATGAGGATATGAACCTGAAATCAACTTTGTGTACAGTAGAGGCCAAAAAACCAGATGTAGCCTAGGCATTATGGTAACTGATACCTTGTAAAGGTTAACAAAACAAAACACTCCCTAAACCCAAAGAGACTTTAATATAGCTTAAAATGAAAGTGGAGAGAGAAGGCCAGGAAAGAAATTGTTCTCCTAAGCAGGAGCAAGGCATTAAACTGAAAGAAATGAGGAAAGGGCTTTGCGTCTGGGGGGAATCCAAGGGTTTAGATTCCATATTTTTGTAACCATTGTCTTCTAGTTTCTCAAGTTGTATTTACAATTATTAATTTATCCTGGCATCTCATAGTTAATAATTATCCTAGTTAAAACACTTGCTTTGAAGTATTCTTCAGATAACTCAGGTGCTTCCAGTTGTAAGAGACAGAATGAATTTTAATTCATTGCAGGTGTTGTAAGCAGCTAACTTCAGTTTATTTCAGTTAAAAGTAGCTACTACTGAGCGTTTTCACAAAAGGGCCTGTTTGTTGCTAATGCTTGGTCATTTATTGCTCAGTTTGCATGAACGCTGTGTAGAGTAAGGAGGACTTTCTGTTTAACCTTCAACAGTTATTTCTTGGAACGAAAAGTAATAGCTAAAGAACAAGTGCTAGATATGAGATTTGCAGCCAAATGTTGTAACATGTCTAAATCTTCTTTATAGCGGGGTCTTATTTCCCATAATGTTATCAAGTCTTACAGGCTTCTTCTGCATTTACAACAAGAAAACAAAGGTACAATGTTCTGGAGCAGACAAAAATGAAGTTGTGATTTCAATAGATTCAACTCTGTGCTGAGTACCTAACAAAGTTTTTAATTTAGTAAAATATTTAATGCCTAAGGAACTTTATTCATTTTGGAGTCAGGAAGATCTTACAAATATTAAATATCTTTGCAGGAACACTTAGTCAGTCTGGATGAGCCAGCCTCGGAAGCTGGACAAGAAGCTCTGCTTAGACAAGAGCAAGCAAAAATCATTCGTTTTGAAAGGCAAGCGGAAGAGTTCCTCAATGCAGTCTTTTACAGAAAAGGTTGGTTTTAATGGCGGGGGGGGAAATGGTGTCTCTTGCTGGTCTTTTTGCATGCAATGCGGTTATCAAAGATCTGACGTTCAAGTTGTCGTTGTATGTTCAGTATTTTTCAGTTGTCTTCTTTGTGTGTGTATATATATATATATTTATCAAGAGTAAAAACTGACTCTCAAATAACGTAGCAACACAACAGTGGAGGCTTGGGACATCATATTTACCCCTAAAACAAATCTTTCCATGAGAGCACTGGTGTTTTGCACTTCTGGAGGAATGGCTCAGTTCTTGCCCAGCAGAACTGCTCCCCTGAAACCAGTGTTTAGGAGAGTGGGCTGTTTGGAAGAAGGGGAAAGTGGCGGTCATGGTAGTAGATGGGTAATTTCTTTATATATATTTTTTTCAAATTTTTAATTTAATGGGATGTGTACTAGTGCAGTTTTTCTTAAAGGTCAGGATTCTTCTCACTATGGTCTGTAGCGATTACCCACCCCATCCCCAGTAATCCACAGTATGAAATATTGTCGGAATAGTGCTAAGGGGGATATGTGGTGAATTCAAAACGTGATCAGCAAAAGAATTGGAAAATCAGTACTGTAAAATATGGTGAGAACAATAACAGTACCTCAATGCTAGAAAATCCTCTCAGTCTCTTCTGGAGAGTTATGTCAGTTAAATGTGCTCTTAGGAAGGCACGAAACTAATTTCACCGTTTTCTACCAATCTGAGAAATGGGAATCCAGAGGTTGCTTCCAAATGCATCCTGACTGAAAGTACATTGTACTTATCAGTCTAACCCATGTGTGAGAAAATCTGCCAAATCAGTAATTCCAACCTGTCTGCTGGGGGACAATGCGAGGCTTCAGTTTAACAAATTAGAAATTGCTGTAGCCAGTCCTCAGCCCTTCCTCCCAGTGACCAAAATATTTAAAGGTGTTTTAAGTAGATAACAGTATCTTAGCCTTTCTTTTATGACTCAAATGAATAAATACAAAGTATACATTATGATGTATTGCATAAAGTATAGGAGCGTGTAGGATGGTAGGAAGGATAGGTATTGCATTACTACTGATAGTTCAGATAATGCTTTTATTCCAAGTCTTCCTTTTCAGTGGGTTTGGGTTTTTTCCTTTTAAGGTTAATGTTTCCTTTTGCTTTTAAACATCCCATCTCTCTTTAAATCCAGAAGGGATTTAAGAAAACAAAAATCTAGAGAAAATATACTTTATTTTTCTGCTGGGGGAGGGGCAGCAAAAGCAGTTCTATGACTTCCAAATTGTTTATTAAAGACTTCATCACTTCAGCACTGAGCTTAAATTTTTATGTCTGACCTGTGTCCGTGTATTATTAGAAATACATACTTCTGCAATTGTCGGAAAACTATTGGCAAATACTGCAGTGTGCTAATGAGGGGTTTAACACTCTGTCCGTGGTCAGATACAGAATGAAGATCATGAAATCACTTCAGATGTCTAAGAATCTCTGAGAATTTTTTTTAATATGCTCTTGCTTTCCTTCCTCTGGCAAAGCTGTGCTTGGTGCAAGAGTAATAAGGGAGGGGAAGAAGCCTGGCAGGAAGTCAGTTCTGAATGCATCGTTGTCAAGCTTGGCTGTATTTAGATTGTTTGAAAGGTTATTCTAACTCATGCCACTGCCATAAGATCCCCAGGCACTGTCATACCAAAGAGGACACACAGAATGGCAGAACTCTGATGTCCCTACATTGCTCAGAGATGCTGGGCTCTCCTGGTTTCATGCCAGTGAGATTAATTCTTTTTTTCCTTCCATTCTCACTGCCAGTAACATTTGAGACTGGTATTTTGTAGCCCAGGCAGATCAGAGAAATTGCAAGTGTACTACAAATGGATGCCTGTTGCATGTCAAGGACGTGCACCCGTGCACTTAACATGCATGGGTAATTAGCAAGATCAGCAAACTTTCTGAACAGGTTTGCTGTCCATTAATCTTATGTACTTTCTCTCTGCTTTGTGCCCATGGCAATCTTGACTCGATAATGCTTCTGTCAAGTATTCACACTTCCCACTAAAAGCAGGGTGGTGGTACCTAGTTGTCCCTTACCTCTGCCTCGTGGCAGGATAGAACCTTCTTTGACGATTTAATGAAATCATACTTTTTTTGTTTGATACTGCCCTTCTGAGATTTCAGTGTAGATAAAATACACAAAAGCTATTAAGGTTTTAAAGCTCAGAGGTACTGTTTTAGACTATTTACAGCTGATAAATATTTCCTGTATTTTTCTTCTCTGAGAATCTCTGCTTTAGTTAATTTTGGTGTATTTTTTTCAAAACACCTTGACACTTGGGAGTCAAAATAAACATCTGGTTGATTTCAAGTGATGCTGCTTTGGCACCAACAAATATTTTGCACTCACATTTAATCCTTAGCATTCAGGCTTTATATTGAGCAAGAAGCCTTTAAAGTGCTGGGTAACTACCCTTCTGGTTGAAAATTGAGTTTGTGTCCTGAATTGAGAGGTTATCTTGAGCAGCATTAGAAAGCTCTTGGTAGTCACTCTGTACCGATTCTTTGAAGTTGCAGATTACAAAGATGCATGACGGGAGGAATATATAGTCTTTTCTCCCTGAATTTGGAAATGCATTCAGCTGCAACCCATTACTGAATTGTGCATATGAACATGGGTGCACAGTAAAGGCCTGATTCTTCTTCAGAAAACGTAGGCACCATAGAGATCTGCATTCTTGCAAGCCCCACTTATACACACCACAAGCACATGCCAAATAGTTGGCATCAGTGTGGTCATGCCGTTGGTTTGTGTCCCTCTGGGCTTTCCTAGAGCCTTTCACGTGTCCTTCAGCAGGTTACAGTAGAGAGCTTAGAAAACGGAAAAAACATCACCATAGCAGAAAAAAGCCTCCATGCTTCTCCAGGCCTGTGTCCTTGTGGACTATTTGGGAAGAAAACAATATATATATGTACCTAAATTTGTTTGGCTCGTCTCTTGGTGATTTCTTAAAACTCTAGTGTCTTGTCCTAACAATAAAACATCCTGTAGATTTTACAAGAAAATGATTAAGTATTTACATAAATGTCTCAGAAGTTTACAGCTACTATACCCCTGTTAAGAATATATGTGTTGACAGTATAAGGTCTTAAATTTAGAAAGCTGTACTTAACAGGAAGGAATTTGAGCTTGATTAAGTATTTAAAGCTCAATATGATTTTTCATCAAGAAACACAACTGCCTACTGCTGCTCTCTAGTTTGTGGGTGAATACATGCTCAAACCTTCATATCAATCATCCTTTACGGATACTCTAAAGCTGGTTTGTTGGATTGATGCATTTTTGTCAAAAACGATGGTAAAAGGCAAATCTAATGTTGAAATGTCCCACAGAAGATTTTGCTAGTGCTTCTAATAGTTCAATCTCAATAGATTACCTTTCAACCTGGGCAATTTTTTTTGAAGAGGAAGGAAACGCTTTACTATTGCTCTGTTTTGAGAGCTGCTTTTAAAGATTTGTCTGGTCTTCTACAACTTTCTCTGAATGTTCTTCAGAAATAGAAAATCAAACATTCTGAGCCATTTCTGTAGTTGTTGTTGTGGGGCTTTTTGTTTTTGTTTTGTTTTCTCAAACCTGATCTGGCCAGAAAATACAAGCAGTGTTTGAAGTGAACTGGCAGGACTTAGCTTCTGTGATTTAGGAGCTACAGATTTGCTTTGACATCACAAATTACTGCTGGTCTAAAATAGTGATTTTTTTTTTTTTTTTTTTTTTTTTTTTTTATTGCTAATATATTTTTGGGTTGCCCATATCACCAAATACCTCTGTATTTAAGCGCAATTTCGTATAAATAGATTGAATGTCTACCTGTTTGATTTCACGTTTCTTACTAATAGATTTAGCAGCTCTTCTAGAAATAGAGTTACTTTTCATGTGACACATCTTGGGTTTCTGTGTATGTGAAAGCTCTTTGGGTAACACCTGGTGCTGCATTGATTGTAATGATATAAATGTCAAAAGGAATAGATAGAATGGGATCGAAGACACTTGAACGTTTGATCTTCATGTGAATTATTTTGAAGAATCGATCTATAGGGCTTTATTTCGCAGTAAATTTGTAGGGGACTGCTGCAACTCTGTTCCCCCTTCTCCCTTTCTCTAGCTGCAGGTAAGTTACTCAATTCTTCCATTGACTAACCTGTTCAGTTTTTTGGAATGAGCTTCACTACTTGGTGCTTCTCTTCATGAGTCTAGCTCTCCTTTCCATTTCCACACCTCTTAAAGGTCTGGTCAAATGTATCTATATTTGAAAACGAAAGGAGAGATTGCATATTTCTCTTAGGAAACTGTTATTTTGGGACAATTATATCAGAATTAGCAATGGTTCTTGTTCAGCTATTCTAAGACTAAAGTAGAGTTTCTACAAAAACTATTTTATCTTTGGCTTTCATTTTTTTCCCTAGATTTTTTTTTTAAATAAACAATGACTTATAAAAGCTGTTTTACTTAAAGTGCTTCCTTAAAAAAAAAATCTCTGATATTTGCAGACAGTCCTAGGGTCTCTGACCCCAATATTCCCCTAGTGGCCCGTGAGATCATGCAGCGAATGATCCGACAGTTTGCTGCTGAATATACCTCAAAAAATAGCTCTACTCAGGACTCCAGCCAGCCCAATAGCACAAAGAACCAAAGCCTGCTGAAAGCATCTCTGGTCGCCTCCTCTCCCACGGCTGCAACTGCTCAGAACCCTGTGCTCAGCAAACTTCTCATGGCTGACCAAGACTCACCTCTGGACCTTACTGTCAGAAAGTCTCAGTCAGAACCTAGTGAACAAGGTAGGACTCTTATCAGTGTCTTGCATCCTGCATCAATCCATTAATGGCATTCTTGTTGCAAAACCAGACAATCAGGAGTTTGCACTCTTACACAAAATGTGAAGTGGAAAAGCAGTAGATGTTTTTACAATAAAATGATGACTAGCTAGATATGGCTGGGAGAGAAGAGACTTCTTGAGAGAATGTAGGCCTGTAGAAATGAGTGATTTTTCTGAAGAAGGGCAAAGGGGATGGACATGCTCCAAACTCAGGGGACAAGTGTGCTGTTCCTGCTGGGAGCTGCAAGAAACAGCCTGCCAAAATAGACTGTGCGCTTGCTGATCAGACAAGTTCACGTGGTCATGAAAACCATAATGTTGCCTCCTTTCTGAAGATCAGTACGGTCTGACTGAAGGACTGATTTATTTTCTTTCTGTTCATAGTGTGAAAACAGTATCTTTTAAAATCTGTGAGAAATTGCTTTGTGAAGGCTGTAAAAATGATACCCATGAACTGTACAAAACTTCCAGGTTTATGCATTTGGAAGAAATGTTTCTTTTCTACCTTAAAAATAGACTTGTTCTGCAGAGCACAGATTGAATAACTTGTAACAGTGTTGCAGAGCTTGTTTTAATTTGAAAACCTTGCATTCCATCAAAGATGTTTTTAACAAGCAAATTCTGTGAGTGATTGTAGGATGTGAATGGGGGTTTTTCTGAAACTGTTGAATAGAGGCGATCATAAGTGTATCCTACTGATAGGATTAAAATTAGCCCCTTTACCCTTCTTTAGAAATGTGTCAGTGTCTGAAATCCTTCTATCAGAGTAGGCTGTCCATCCTCAAGTGGAAGAGGTACCTTTAAAAAAAAAAAAAAGAAAAGCCTTTTGCTAGCTAGTACAGAATTGTGGGTATCCCTTTATTCTTTGAAGTTACGTTTACGAAGCCCTTTGAAAAGGCTAATTTTATGTGTCCAGTAATATGCAGCTTGGGCGTCTGGACACTTAAGGCGCTTACTGAAAGTTGTCGCCACGCTTCAGTTACAAAACTGCAGTGAAAGATTGTATGGTGTCGATCTTGAAGTGAGGACCTGTACATCTAGCATTTGTTTCTAGCCAATTCTATTACAAATGTTATTTCACGGGTGTCTTTTGCATATATGTTTATAAATGTTAACATGTTCTTATTGTGAAGCTTTTCACTGAAAAAGAGAGGGAAAGAATCAGTTTTGCTTCCAGTTCCGTTGTGCTTTTTTTTTTTCCAATTAGAGGATTGTATGGTGAAAAAAGCATGTATGTGACCTGTTTAGCTACCATGTAACAAAAAAGCTGTAAGATAATTTATAATGTTCATAACACGCTATGGAATTAGAACATGTGCGTATTAACTTATACAGTAATCTGTTTGCTGATGCTACTTTTTTGCTATTGCTATTTTTTTTCCTAATTTACATTTAGTGTAATTGGGAAGAAGTTTTGCCAAACTTGTTAATGAGAGATTTAAGAGGCTGCTGTGAAAGGCTGCTAGTGGTGCTTTTTGCCACGTTTCTGTTCTAGTGGGGTGAGGGGAACCCAGCTAGTTGGTAAACTTCTCCACGAGGCTGGTCCTCCTTGCCCTCGGGGACTTCTAGGTCGTAATGACCCTTCTGATGGAGAAGCGTGGGTGCAAGTGCCTTGGGCAGCAGCCTGTGCTGTTCAGTATAGCCTCTTGAAAAGGAGGTGCTGCTTGATCCAGTCTCTGTGTCTTGTGGCTGCATAAGCGTTGTTGAAAAGGAAGATTGAATTCTCTGCTTGCTTGAATTACGGTGTGTTCCCAAATGCAGTGGGTAGAACAGCTTTCCATAAGTTAATTCTAGTTCACTGTTTATCATGGTTTTTTCTCCATGTCAGATGAGAACTTTAAGCAATCTGAAAGCCATCTTACATTGTTCTTGTGTTGGGTGGTATTTATTTGAGTAGATGGAATGAGTGAGGAGCTCCAAAATGTCTCTGGTTTGCCTTGCCAACAGGTTTCACTTATCTTTGCCTTATAAATTCCTTGTTTCAAAGTTTCCAGGAATTTCAGATGGCTGTGCTGCTTCTATGACAATGTTGACCTTATTAAAATTACCAGAATTTCAAGTTGTTTCAGTGCAGTGGGAGCAAGCCTTTTCTAGCAAAAGTGTTCCCTTTTCTGTTGCCTAGAAATGCAGAGTGTACGTAAGGGCTTGCAGAGGAGCACGGGTGAGCGTGAGGAAGTGCCATTAGTGAGAATGGAAGAAGCAGTCTAGCAGGAAAAACAATTTGGTATATGGAAGAAGAGAGGGAGTAAAATGGCACAATAGAGAGGAGAAAGGCAGCAGCTCTGCCAGTAGGGACCCATCAGAGACATGGAAAAAAGGATGAAGCTAGCTGCCAGGTGAGGAGTTGTCTCACGTTTGTGTGTGTGTGTGTGTGTTCATTTGAAAGTGAGTTTCCAATGTGAAATTCTCAATGAATTTTCCTATGGAGATTTGGATCAAAATAATTTCAGATACTGGCTTAAAGTCCCCCAAATCTCAGAAACCTGAAGAACGTCTCATTTTAGGGCTGATGAGGGTTGGTTGTGCGATAGGCTGTGTTGTATCTTGTAGGTCATCTTTTATTCTCTGGCCCTTTTAAGAGATGCACTTTAAATTTTGCCAAATTTTGTCGTGACTTCTGAGGACTACAAAGTCACTTGTAAGCCAAATTGCAAACAAATCCAAGCCTTAGTTTGTATAAATATAAAAATAAAATGGAAAATGCTGTGTGCTAAGTATGACTACAGCCCAAAAGCCTTGTTTTGTCAAGGGACAACATGGCTGATGCTGTTTCTTCAAACGCTGAAGTCATTCTTTGTCTCTGTACAGACGGTGTGCTTGATTTATCCACTAAGAAGAGTCCTTGTGCCGGCAGCACTTCTCTGAGTCATTCTCCAGGGTGCTCCAGTACTCCGGGAAATGGGTAAGAGAAAGCAACTTACTATGACCTTTTAAAACTGTTTTTTACTAAAAATGTGTGCTTACCTCCTGTTAATTTTAACTTTTGGTCTTAACCCTTTGGAGTAATGTGTTTTTTCAACTTGTACCTTTGGTAAATACCTTCATCCCACCTGCCAAATAAGAGTTGTTGCAAACTGAGACAGATTTAACTTGCAGCTAAGAACTTTAATGTCTGTTACTTTGGCCAATTTCATACTTAGCCAAAGATCTTTCCATTACCTGCTTCTTGGCTTCAGTGATAAGTGATGGTCCATGGAGGTGCAAGTTCAATTAAATGCATAAAGAGTCTTAGAGGCTTTGCAACATAATTTAGATTTCATTTCACTTAGGGGAAAGTTAGCTAACAGGAAAGTTTATTTTAGTGGTAGCAATGGTTTGGGTGATGAACCAAGCTGAATTAGATTTAAATCACTGCATGCTCTTTGTTAATATTTCCTAGCATAAACCACAACATACAAAATGAAAAGGGTGGGAGGGGAGTCTGGTAGTTCAGAAAACTTTAAATACGGCTTTTGGGATTTGTGATTGTACTGTAAGCACTGAACAAGTTTTTTGGTTTTGTTTGGTTCTGTTTTTGTTTTTTTTTTTAAATACTGTGTACTAGTCTTGCCTTAATTAGTTCAAGGTGTGAAAGTACGTTATATCAACAAAATTTCTTGAAGGTTTCCTATTTCTAATGGTCTCCATTTGCATACACTTAGAAACCCTTTACTCTTAGCTAGGATTGAGTTAATTGTGCTGGAGAGGTTGACTGGGAATAAGAGGGATTTTGGGTGTTGATGGGAGAATTTTTTCTTGAAGCTACTGTGAACAAGTAATTTTTTTAGTGAAGTACAGAAGCAGTATATGGCTTAAATTGCCACTTAATTGCTGGATTTCGCTTTACAGTGCACTTTGAAAAACAAGAAATTTTAAACTAACAACCCACCACCAATCCCGTACACTGCTAACAACTGATTTAACTTTTGCATTTCTCTTTGGAAAAATATTAGTGTCTCAGATTTCTCCCTTCAAGATTACTTTTCCCATTAATATTTCTATTAATAAAATACTTCAATTCTTGTTGAAAAGTTGGTCTTAATACTTTTTCACAATTCTTTAGCATAAAACTTCCCCACCAGCTCTTCTCTTTCAATTCTGAGCAGGTTATTTCCAGCTTTATTTTCCCAGGAAGGCAGCAGAAGCCACCGAGGCTGTGTATTGTTTGTTCCCTTGTTTGTGTATCAAGCAAGGGCCAAAGTCCGACAAGCAGGGATGACAGGGCTGGCACCTGGCACTGTCCTCATCAGTTCTGTGGGTCTGGAGAGGATGCGGCATGCTGGCACCTGTGGTTACTTGTACAGGTGTGTGGTAAATGAGGGTGCTTGCAGTCTGTCCAGCATCGATGAAATCAGGTGGGGCCCTCTGTCCTAGTTAGCTGCCAACATAACCTTTATGTAGGTGTAGAATCACTGGTGCGCATCCTGATGCTGATATATGCTGTAGAAGGGGCAGAGAATGCACATTGCTTGAGAGCGTTCTCCGGAATCGCAAACTTCCATTCATTTCTCTGGATTTTGTTCTGAATCCTTGTTGACTCTTGTTACCCACTTCAAATATGACCTATTGCATCCTGGAGAGAAGCTAGCAGCGTATGTATCGAGCACTGTGTCTATTACATGCCATGTCCTTTCTGTGGATGTCTTTCTCTACAGATTTTTTAAAAATTTTTTCTTAATCCCCACGTGATGTTAAAAAGAATAATGTAGCTTTTCAGCAGTTCGTATCCTATCCTTAAATAACGCTGACTTAGCTAGAGGGCTTTACGCCAGTATAGTGTCCCAGAGCATTAAAACAGAATTGCTTACTAGTCCCTTCGTTAATCTGTACGTTGAACATGGAAAAGTTTGGGGGTGGGGGTTGAACCGAGTGTGACTTAGTTACTACAGGGGGCTAAGCAACCAAATATTAAAATATACTTGCTTATCTGCAGTAGTAGTACTTTGTGTTCTAGAAAGAACGCTTGTGAAAAAGGAACACTTGTGAAAAAGGAAAATGGTAAAAATGCATACAACTTTTTCTGCTATTAACCCTTGATCTGGATGTAAGTTGGAACTTAGAATTTTTTTTTTTATTATTTTCTTTTTTTTTTTCCCTAGCCATGCTATGTAGCAAATGAGAATCAGGGACATGTATATATGCAATTAGTTGTTAAGAGAGCAATTTGGTAAGTCTAGCGTAATGCAGTGCTTTCATATTTGGTGCTTAATGAAAGTCAAGCAAATACCTTTAAGGCCCGTTAAGCTTTTTTTTTTTTTTTCCATCCTAAGCAGCAATTCTTCAATATGATGTAAGCGAACATCATCCAAGGTTTCCACCTATGCGTAGATACTGCAGGTGGCAGTCATATTTGCATGTTGAATATGTTGCACTTTGGCTTACTCTTTTATTACTGTACTTGTTTAGTGGTAACGTCACACCAGTAACACAGTTGTGTGTAGATCTATGGCGATTGATTACTACTTTGTAATTAAGGTGCTATTTTCAGACGCTTGCGCGAAGTCTTTTCTACTCCGAGAATTTGTGAACCCAACCAGAGACCAGCCAACAGGTTTCATTTTTCTTTGCCCAAAAAGCTTCTCTTTTTTTGTGAACAAGTTTTAAAACTGACTGATGCTGAGACTTAAAAAAAAAAAAAAAAAATTAAAATAAAAAAAAAATTTAAACAAAATTTTTTTAGAGAAAAATAAATAACACAAAAAGTGATGTTACCCAAGCAAGGCCTTCTAATAAAGGAGTGGCCCCCTCACCCATCCCTCCCTACCTGTGCAAGTCCTGCTCACATCAGTTTCCTTCCATCCAATTAGGCGACCTGGGAGACCCAGCCAGCACCATCCGGAGGGACTACAGAGTGGTGATGGGGTACCTCCAAGAAGCTTGCAGGATGGAACCAGGGAAGGTTATGGCCACTCCACATCTCTTAAAGTACCGCTGGCTCGATCACTCCAGATTAGTGAAGAACTGCTGAGCAGAAACCAGTTTTCTACGGCTGGCAGCCATGGGCCATCTGGACTACAGAATCATGGACAGCACTTAATATTATCCAGGGAGGCTTCTTGGGCAAAACCACACTACGAATTCAATTTCAGCCGCATGAAATTCAGGGGAAATGGTGCACTCAGCAACATCAGTGACCTTCCTTTTCTTACAGAAAACTCTGCCTTTCAAAAAATGGCACTTCAAACTAAACAGGATGGGAAAAAGGACGTGAGCCATTCGTCTCCTGTGGATTTAAAGATACCACAAGTTCGAGGCATGGACCTTTCATGGGAGTCCCGCACTGGTGACCAGTACAGCTATAGCTCTTTGGTAATGGGTTCACAAACGGAGAGCGCGCTTAGCAAAAAGTTAAGGGCTATCCTTCCAAAACAAAACAGGAGAAGTTTGCTGGATGCTGGACCAGATTCCTGGGGCTCAGATGCTGAGCAGTCTACCTCTGGACAGCCATATCCCACCTCAGATCAAGAGGGAGATCCTGGCTCCAAGCAACCTAGGAAGAAAAGAGGGAGATACAGACAGTACAACAGCGAGATACTGGAGGAAGCAATCTCTGTGGTTATGAGCGGGAAAATGAGTGTTTCCAAAGCTCAGAGTATTTATGGGATCCCCCACAGTACACTGGAGTACAAAGTTAAAGAGAGGCTGGGCACTTTGAAAAACCCTCCAAAGAAAAAAATGAAATTAATGAGGTCGGAGGGGCAGGATGTTTCAGTAAAGATTGAATTAGATCCCCAGGGAGAAGCAGCACAAAGTGCGAATGAATTGAAAGATGAGTAGGGATGTTGCTGAGTGCCAATTACTTTGCAAACTGGGTGAGCACTACTGCATAGTTCAACCACCACTGAGCACACCTGATTTTCCTATTTACTGCAATGCTCTTTCCTTTGCAGTTCAGCATAGACTTGTGTGGACACAGGTGAAAGGTGTGCTCTGAATGTCACATTGTAAATTTTTCTAGCCTGGTATGGCGCAGTTCCCTCATTCACCTGACCACTACCCCCTTTTTCATGTGGCTTTTTTTTTGTTTTTTTTTTTTCTCTGGGGTTTTTTGTTTTTCTTTCTTTCGCCTTTTGCATGTTTCTCTGCAATAGAGAGTTGAGTTACCTCACAAAGAATGCAGGCCTGTGGAAGTGGACATCTTGCCTGTAGAGCCTGCCTGAACTTCTGGTATTGGATTTTTCACGTCTGCCATTATAGAAATAAGTCCACTTTGTTAAACTGGTACTCTCTTAAAACCAGACTTTTTTTGAATGAGAATCAGACTGTCATTCTTCAAAATGTTTCAGAAATCTTTTTTTTTTTTTTTTTCCCCTCCTTTACTTTGATCCAGTTGATTGAAAGATCTAAGCTAAATCAAGTTATTTAGGAATGGTACCTCTCTTGAACTCAGATTTGTTTGTTAGATGGATAATCAATTGGGTCTAATCAGGCTCTCCACTATTTTCTTTCTAAATTAAACATACTTACCATTCACTGTCTGCTTAGTGCTCACCCGGAGGGGAGGGGAGGGAACACATACATACACTACCTTCAGAATATGTCAGTTAATTATTTGTAACACTACCTTCGCTGTAATTTTGTTTGATATTTTTGAAGGGTGATATTTAGACTCACCTGCTTGAGGATGTAGCCTTATCTCACGGAAGACAAGCTTCTTGCAGTCAGGAGCAGTCAGGGTACACTAAATGATGTATTAGGGTATGCCTCATTATAACAGAACTATGGTTCTTTGTGACCTTTATGCTTTTTAAAGACTTGATTCTGAGTTTACTAAACTATGTGGTTCCAACAACTAGTTTAAATGACTCTAATCTGGGGAAGGGGGATTTGTGTAACAAACTACTGTGATATTGCAAAAAAGAGAAAAAAAAAAAAAAAAAAGCCCACAAAACAGTGATCTCAAACGTTACAACCTCAGTAGTCTGCCCAAATATCCACATTAGTGAAGGAGCTTGTTAATGTTCAGGGAAGAAGTAAAACACTGGTAGCCTGAGCTAATTCAGGCTCTGCATCATATCTATCTGTAATACTGTCAGGGTCGAACACTCAATGAATGGGTGTTTCCTTTTTAAATATTACAGTTGCCAGTAGCGGGAATTAATCTAAGTCCTGCTTTTTTGTTGTTGTTTTTATTTAATCTATTTTAATAGTGGTTTAGCACATGCTAGACTAAACACCGTAAAAGCACTCCATAAACCACAAATCCAGGTTTTTCGATATGATGATATCGCTATCATTATATGGAGATCCAGGATAAGTTTTGTACAGAACTTCTATCTTTGATACTTTCTGCGGGAGTGGTCAGTAACTAGGTGGAGCTTACTGGACTTACCACAATATGACCAAATCAGAATTGCTGGTTCTTCAGGTAGAAACAATTTGGTCTTAATCTGTGCAAAAGGTAGATAGAATTACCACTTTTTTTTTTTTCCTTCCCATTTGCACAACCAAAAGAAGCATCAGAGTTTTTGTGTGAGAGCATTAAGTGATGTCAGTGATTGAAAGTGGTTTCTCAAAGTTCATGGGAGGGTGGCCTAGATAGCCCTAGGGGTGCTGAATGACTTCTGGAACAGTCGATCCTATTAGCCTCTCCCCCTCCCCAGCAACTTCATATTTTCAAAGGTTAGGCACACCATTGCTGTCATTTTAAATATGCACTGCTCATTCTTGAAACGGACTGGGCGTTTGGCCCCAAGTATGCTTTGGTTTTGTTTACTTAATATATTTTAGTACTCAAAATCCTGGTTCCTCATAGCTCTCTCTAGTTGTCATCTTGGCATTGAAAGCAGTTTAAGCTCAGTAGCAGTATAATAAACTCTGCAATACGTTCCAGTTTAGCTGGGGATTGCAATAAAGGCGCAGTTAAATGTGTGGTTTCATCTGCTGTTGGAGGTTATGGTAGAAAGTTTGCTGCAAGTTTAGAAAAAGGAAAAAAAATAACACAGTTCTACTGTTCAGAGAGGTTTAACCTTTTGCAGTTGTCTTTATTTAAGCAACATGAGTTGAGTTTTATAAAACTTGTCACTGTAGTGTACGTGGAGTGCTCATTTTACTAACCTAAATGTTTTGTATGTGTATGTTTAAGTGGGTGACAATCGTGCAGCAGAAGAATGGTGTGCCTACCCTTTAATGCTGCAGTTTTAAAAGAGAATTTGTCTTGTCATTTCAGACTGTAGGCTAAGAATTGTAAATAGATAGTGAGAAGTCGAGTACTCTTTATTTGCTTTGGTTAGAAAGTGGATTTAAAAAAAAAAAAAACAACAAAAAAACAAACAACAAACCAAACACGTAACTTTCTCAGTTTAAATGTCCTGAGACCTGAAGATTGTAATACTCATGTCTGCAAAGCTTTTAAACACAACACTTGATCTGTGATAACTTAATATTCAGGTAATCTTTCTTTTTCGAGAAGCTTTTGAACAACCATATTTCCTCCAAAGGTCTCTGTTTAAAAAGGAAAAAAAAGAAAAAAAGTGTAGACTATTTTTTAAGCACTAATTGCATTACGTTGGTAACTGCAATATAAAATAGCCATTATTGTTTTGTGAAGCATGGTTGAGATTAGTTAGTGGTCCCTTTTTAAAATTTCATGAGCCTCTCAAAAAATAAAAACAAATTTAAAAAAAAGCTGCTGAATATTCAAAAGATATATATTTTACCTTATTGTAGGTTTTGTAAATTTAGTCTGTAATATTCAGGTGCACCTTTTAATGTTAACCTTTTGTTTCAAAGTCCCATCTAATGTATTTTCTCTGAGGTGATTCATCACGTAAGACTAGTATCACTCGAAGTGCTGCAGTGATCACTAATGTTTTGTTTCGTTTTTCACTACATATTTTTTACAGGCGCTTTCAGTGTAGCTAACTAGTAGTATTTGGGATCATTTTAAATATATGATTGGAATTAATGTTTGTCCATTAGCATGCTTAATTTTCTGCTGACCAGCAGTTTGCATGGCCAAAATCCCTGGTTGACCATATTTTGGTGTGGGAAGGTGTGGTTCACTGCTGTCTTTGTAACAAAAGCCTTGTTTCTCATGTTATTTCTGGTAAGTGGATGCTTATGTTACTTGGATCACTTGGACAGGAGAGAAGGTTTAAAAATCTTTCTCCTGCTGCTCTTTGGAGATCACATTAACGTGTAACATAGACAAACTGCAACCCTGTAAAAATCGAGACGTCGTTAGGAGGAGGCCTTTCGGGTATTTTTCGTCACTAGTTTTCTCTTATTCCCGAGAACGTCCATCCGATGTAGTTATTGGACTTAACAGTATTGTTGTGTACTACGTTGATGTAGCTGAAAAAGCCTGACAGCAAGAAACTGTGAATAATATTTGTGGCAGTCTCTGAAAACTAGTTTTTCAGTCCAAGTATCATGAAGGAGAATCCCTCTCCCCTACCCCATCCTAGAAAAGTAATTTTATATTTTGTGTGTATAAAGTTTTAAGAATCAAGTTTCATATTGTACTGAAGTTTAGGTGTCGCTTGGTAAATCTTTGCTGCAGCATATAATTGAAGATGAGTAAGGCTTAGTGTGGTAGGGGTCCTGGTGTGGAGTTAATTATCGTACAGTTCTGGTGAGAAAGCCCAACATGTATGAAATGTGTCCTTTTTTTTTTTTTTTTTTTTATTTGGACTTGTAAGATGTAAAAGTGCTTTTTTAGAACTCTGACCTATTACAAACTATTACCTCACTTTCAGCCAGCTGGATCCTCATTCCACAGTGTTGTAGGCATTATTGTGGCCGTAATGCTTGAGTACAGCTATAGAGTTGAACGTTTCCAGTTAGATATTGTAGGGACACGTTTCTGGACTCGTTTTTATTTCTGTCAAAAGATACTTTATTTTCCAGTCATTCCCTGGGGTTTTTTTCTGTCATTTCCTGGTTTGTTGCTTTTTGGTTGGTTTTGGGTTGGTTGGGTTTTGTTTGTGTTTTTTTTTTTTTTAAAGGCTCAAGACAGTTTCCTTTAGAATTTCTCATTTTTCCCTGTTATGCAGGAACAGTTGCTGCATGAGCAATACAGGTATGCCTTTGCTTTCTTCTTGTTGCAGAACTCATCATTTGATGCTTGCGTTGCCAACCCTATTGCTAGACCTGAAAGTCGGAATCTGAATTTACACGGCAATTGGAAAACAAATTATTTTTAGCAAATGCAGGTGTACAGGTAGGATAGTGCCTCTAGTAAGGGAACACATTCAGCTTCTGTGTTCGCAAGCAACTCCTATACCACCTTTTTTGTAGAGCTTTCCAGTGCTCAATGATATTCCTGAACGTGGGAGGCAACTGCACGTGTGTTTAGACCGGTTGAGAGCAGACAAGGAATAGTCTGTACTTTGTCTTGCGGCAGGCCGACATTTGGGTCTAAATATTTTTTCATGAGAACCTGAGAGTACGTTGCCTTCCCCTGGAAATTCACGGGAACTGGCAAAGTGATTCGGGGGCTTTAGGGTTGAGTAAGCTTTGTATAGATCGGAACAACCTTTTAGTTCTGATTGAATTGCTTTTTGTATCATCTGCAACGATTGTTATACAGGCAGAACTGGAATTCTCATGCGTTTCTTCCAGTTTACTTTGAAATAATGGTCTTAAGATGTCCTTGAGTCTTTAGGAGAAGAACACAGTGTCCAAGGAGTGAAGGGAACATCGTGCCGTTCCCTTGTTTCTCAAAAACAGTGTGGCTACATCTGTAATGTAAAGAGCTCTTTCTTCAGTGAAGACGAAATTTTAACTCTTCGGTGTAAGAATGCACATACTTGTTGCAGTCCAAACTCTTATGAAGGCAAACTTATTAACCTGTGCTGAAAGCTTTGTCACAATATTTTAAATATCTTAAATTCTCCACCAGATGTTAGCGGTAGAACGGAAAGGGTCATTTCCCTCATTTTCACGAGGATCAGAAACTTCTAGGTTTTCCCCGCCAATGTTTCAGAAACAAAAGGTAGTTTCTGGGTCAATGTCACTTTTTCTTGGCACCAGTAGATAATGTTGACTAATACTGCTTTAACAAGCCGTACCTAAAAAAAATTTTGAGACTGGTTTTGGTACTTACAAAGGTTTCCACTTGATCTTGAATGACGTAAAAAACCTGCAGAATTAGAACCTTCAGAAACCTGAAAATCCACACTGCTAATTATATGCAGTTCTGTTGGATGTAGCAAATACAATAACCACTACAGTTCTTCATTTCTAATTATCCATATCTAATTATAAATACAATGGACTGTGATGATCACTAAGCAGGGAGATATTGCGGACTCAGAATGATCTGTAGATACACTCCACGTATACCAGAAAAAAAAATGTAAGTAGTTATAGCATTCCAGTGTCCATCTCTCTCCCTCTCTCCTGTTCTTGCCTTGTTTGGGGCCAGCTCTCTCTACCAGTATTACAGCAGCAGTTTTGGACTTCGTGTCCTACGGAATTACGCCTATTTTCAGGTATTGTCATGAAAACCTTCATATTAAGAGAGCTTTATTTAATCGTCACAACAACCTCTTAGCCTGGTTGCAAAACCAATTTGCCTGGGCGATGTACTAGGAGGAAGGAATTTTTTAAAATTTTTTTTTTGGCCCGTCCAGGGCATTTCATTCACCTTCTTAAAATCAAACATCCCCACCCATGCCCGTGTGCTTGTCTCTGCTGAATCAGTAAGTGTAATTTAGAAGGACTCAAGACGGTAACTCTACCTGATGGAGCAGGGGTTAGGACACGGGCTTCGTTCTGACTGGAGCAGGAAAAGTTCATGTCAGACAACAGTTTCTGTAGTCACCACCTGATACAGTCAAACTTTTAATGGTTTTTCCGACTCGGAAGTAACGAAGACACTACTACAGCTACTAATGCAGTTTATCAGCTACTTGGTGCTACATTTCTCAAATATTTTTGCAGATAATA